TTTTCGGAGCCCCCCCCCCCCCGTTGTATTCGCTTAGGGGCTAAATTGTCATGAAAATATTTGAAAAAATGTTTTGGCAAGCCTGCATCACATGTGGGTAAGGAACTACCCATCCTTCCCCCCAACCCAACCCAACCTTGGCTTATATAAAGTTTATGGCGAGGAGAATATTTTTACGTAAGTCAGGGCAGGTTGGTGCGTCTTGGCGGATGTATTATGTACGCGATTTTATTATTTTTCTTAAGTTAATGAAGCCCGCATGAATGAAATTTTTATACAATAGATTATATGGTGCACTTGATTTGTCAAATGATTTATTCTATTTGCGATCATTTTAGCCACAAAAAAATGGGAATATTCAGTCATCTGTATTATTGGATTACTTTTTGCACATATAAGATTTTTAGCCATTCCAAGCCGTGTCAGCTCTTTTTGTAGTTTGACAAGATTTAGATTCACTTCAAAATGAATGACAAGTATAATCAATTGATGAAACTCATCATTGTTGGTGATAGTGGGACCGGTAAATCATCTCTGTTACATAGATTTATTAAAAATTCCTTTCCAGAAGATCAAACTCAAACAATTGGAGTTGAATTTGGGTCTAAGATTGTTGACCTAGGGGATAGAAGAGTTAAACTTCAAATTTGGGATACTGCAGGTCAGGAGCGGTACAAATCGGTTACTCGCAGCTATTATCGAGGTACAATAGGTTGCCTTATCGTTTACGATGTGACAAACCGTGCTTCGTACGAAAATGTGCCGAATTGGCTCAAGGACGTGAGAAGGCTTTCTGCATCTAATGTTACTATTTTACTTATAGGTAACAAAACCGATCTTATAAAAAACAAGACTTGTGCCGTGCAATACAACGAGGCCGCTTTATACGCTCAACAAAACAGGCTTCTCTTTTTTGAAACATCCGCAATTACAGGTGATTTTGTTGTCGAAGCTTTTTTAAATGTCGCAAAAAACGCATTACATTCTTTACCACCTTCAAATACATCTGCTGATATAAGTCCAGTAGAAATCTCCAGGGAATCTGTAGGAAGGCGAAGTACTTGCTTATGCTAATTCCAAAAGGGTAAATTTTAAGTGTGTTGAAATTTATAGTAAGTGATTCAAATTATGAAACCCTCTTCATTTTTACGTTTTCTTCTATTTGGTGTGTTACTTATTTCCTTATCGAAACGTAAATGTTAATATAAAATAGGAGCTTGGGTGCCTAATGCAAGTGTTTTGTGCGTTTTTGCTTTTTATTTTTCCCTCAATATTCTGTTGGACAATATTTCTAGGCATTTCTAAAACAACGTTTTTTTATGCCGTAGTAAAATGCCAGTTCCGAAGCACACTCGCTCAGTTAAACTACAAGTGGATTATCGAAAAATCTCTGTAGAACAACTATCCGAACGTATTTTTTTGCACAATCCTCGTGTATTTGGCTTCTCTCATCGCTCCCTTAGTAGTTTACGCCACCCTCGTCTCCCTTTAGTTCTTGAATGTCTGAAGTGGACTGCTAATAAAGAGAAAAAAAATGTAAGTGCATTACTTGATATGTTTCAAGCTAGTGCAATTGATGCTGATAAGTGGGAAAGGGCCGCAACTGTTTTTGATAAAAAAATGGATGCTCCAGTTTTTGACAAACCACGGCAGCAGCTCATTCTTTCGAGAGAAATTATACAGCAACTGGAGATCTTATGGTGTTTTCTTGTCGATGGTAAAAGCAGCGCCATCACTGAGGATGTATACAAAATTTTTCATAATAGTTTATATACATATTTTCTTGGTGTAGATGAAGTGAGTGTGCAAACAGCCTGGCTTTCCTCAGTAAACGCTGATTTCTTATGGGATTGCAGAAATGGTCGAGATGTTAACTTTGAGGCCTTTTGCTTGTCAATGCTGGAGCTTGCGGACAACTGGACGCTCTCACGAGAACCCGAGGATTTTATTGCCTTTCTCAAGGACATCGTTTCTTTCACAGTTCTACCGCGGAAGCCATCAGGGCTTGATAGTCGCTATTCATTTTCTCTGAATAATGGAATTTTTTTTCTGGGGGGATAATAGAAAAAGTACTCCACGACGGTCGTATCGAATATCAAAAGTTAGCCAAATAGTGGGCAAAGGACATTTTCCATTTCCCCTCCTTCTCAAGTGAAAAAAGTTTGCTTGATACAATATGTAATATGTCATTATTATCAAAGTATTTGCGATTTTCTTCTTAAAGACTTAAGCTTGCGTTATGCGTCCTCATTTGTGAATATGCCTTTGTGGTTTGAAGTTTTCTACGAACACTTGTGAATACTTCTGTTCTTTATCTTTCATTGTAGAGTTTATTTTTGTTAATAATATTAAGTTGAAATAATGATAAATACAGGAACTTCTTTTAAGGATAGGTTTAACCAGCAGCAACTTCGTCATATCTATTCTGAGTATGATACACATGCTGTTTCTCTTGCGCTTGTCATTGTATCAGTATTATGTATTCCATTTGGGGTCACCATTATAGTAGCTAGCGATTCGATCAGGGAGGTTACCTTTCGCTATGATAATCTAAACAGTTACACTTACGTAGAAGGTCCCGAAGGAACCTACCCAGTTACCTTCGAGTTTGATGGGAAAAAATACTCTACAGGAGCGATCGCTAGGTTGGATTTTTCTCTAAAGAAGACTATGTCTGCCCCAATTATGGTCCAGTATGGTCTTAAAAATTTTAATCAAAATTATCTAAAGTATGTAAAATCATTGGATCATAATCAACTTCAAGGTGGAAGAAATGCTATCATTAGCAGTTGCAACCCCCTTCGTTATCCAGGAGAATTACGTAACGAAAGTGTTGATGGGTATTATAGCCCCTGCGGTGCAATTGCTTGGAGTCTATTTAATGATACTATCTCTATTTATAAAACTCCAAAAGATCTTATATGTGACGGAGGAGCGTTTGATGAACGTGGAACCAGTCTTCTCGAATCAAACAAATGCATTAAAAAAGGTGTAGCACTCCGTAGTGAAGTCAAAATTCGACACAACACCCCTAACAATACGAATAACGCTGGCCCTATGTGGACGGCCAAAGGGAATAAATCATCAAGTAATCCTTTCCTAAGGCATGGGTACTATTTTGGCGAAGCTGGACATAAAATTCCTTGGATTACAGATGAGGATTTTGTTGTCTGGTCTAATGTAGCTTATTTGCCTGATTTTTATAACAATTATCGCATTCTTAAAAGTGATTTGAAAGCTGGTGACTATTATTTTGAGATAATAGAACAATACGATGTGGCATCGTTTTCAGGCCAAAAATACGTAAAATTGTTGTCGTACAATTGGTTGGGTCAGAAGCAATACATTTTAGGCATTTTTTTGCTATTTGTCGGATGCATTTTGTTTGTGGATTCAGTCGCTGTGTTAGTCTCAAGATATTTTATTCATAAATAAAGTAGCCATTTCTGCATATTTCTTTCTACTTAAATTGAAATCTGTTACTATTTTCTGATATTCAGTATCATATATCTAAATTTTCGACATCTAGTATTTTTATCATTTCACTATTTTTTTTGCTCGAAATTTTTATGTGCCTACTATTAAAACAATAGAAACCAATCTGAAAGTAAATTGAGGGCCTTCATGTAAAAGATTGTCGACCTGTGCCAATCATGTTTATGAAGGTTACTCTTGGTTTTGTTGCTCTTTGTATTATCAAATCGAAGAGGTTAAACTAATTTCATGATAAAGATTTGACTTAGTCTTTTTTTTCTAAAAAAAATGTCTAAGGTTATATTCGAAAATTTTCCTTGCTGTGTTCCCTGGCAACCTAGAGTTTACTAGCTCAATAATTATTGTATTTCCACATTAGCTTTATTGTATTTTCTCTAACTCAAGCTATTTTGTACACATATTTCAATGTCTTGGCAAGACTATATCGACAAAAACCTCATTGGAAGTGGTAACATGCACAGTAGCGCGATTATTGGACTTAAGGATGGGTGTTACTGGGCTCATGGAGGAACATATCTTCCACAGCCAGAAGAAATCAAACATATACAAAGATGCCTGGAGGATTTGTCATTGATAAATTCTTCTGGTATTACAATAAATGGAGTCAAGTTCTTTGGGCTGCAATCTGGAGTTGATGGTGACACTCGGTTTATTTTCTTTAAAAAGGGACCTGCTGGAGGTTGTATTTATACAACTAAACAGACATTCATTATTGGTGTCTATGGAAATCCCACTGGAGTCAATTCCCTTCAGGAAGATCTTCAAGGCCAAAAAGCACAGGAAAAGGTAGTTAACCCGGCCTTATGCAATTCATCTGTTAAATTTATTGTCAAATATCTGATTAACTTGGGGTATTAAGATTCAATCGAAACATGCAAGTGCTTTCATGTTATTGTATATCATTATTTTATATATCCACATATATATAATTTATCCGATATCATTTAATTATTGAATTAGAGTAAAGAATTATATCAGAAAACAAACTGAGCAAAGCTGCCATTATTTACGTTCGATTGAATTGTGAATGCATTACCCCTTTGAAACGTTGTCGTAGATGTTTTTTTTTTTTTGCTTGCTTAAAAGGGGGAAAATCAAAAGGTTGAAGTCATGTTTTCGGCTTTTCATAGGTGCGATCAAGGTATGAGGTGTATTTGTGGTACACCGATCTGCTTAACTTGTGCTCGATTGTGCACAGCATGTGACAGCCTTGTATGCCCAGGTTGCATCCCGCTAAATATGCTCCATTGTAAGCGATGTTGTCTTGCCTACTTTCAAAATTATAGGTACCGACTCTGATTATTAATGCTGTATTGCATTGATGGGTAGGTGAAACTTAACAAGATTAACATCTGAAAATAAACAGAAAATGCCCTGGTTTATTAATTATCTTACCATTTGTGAGTAGTCGCGAGCCAGATATCACAACTAATCCTCAACCTACTTCTGAAACAAAAAATACTAGGTTTTTGTACCTAATAAATATTGTAACTATTTTGATAGATACATTCAGTTAGTTTTTGTTAGACTCTACGCTCTGTGCTTCGCGGATTACCACGGCTCTAGGTATTTTGATCACTTTGTATATTAAAATTCATTTCCCATGTTAGCGAAAAGTGTGAACAGGTGTGTTTTACCTGTTGTTAGGGCTACAATGTTACGTGCGCCATGCTGCTTCTCAATAGCTCCGGTACAAAGGCCTTCTATATGTATCGAAACGACTATGCCGACATTTTTAATCGATGCAGATAAACCGCAGTTTCTGGAATGCGGAACTGGTCAACCGGCGCAAAGAGGACGAAGGAAACCACTTGTATGGAAGCGCCGGCATCCTTGGTTTGATCGTCAGTGGTCCTTAGATCTGAAACGTGTAAAGAAGGGCCCCGAGACACCGTATTTTCCAGAAGGAGTTCCCTTCACTCCCATCCGAACCTTCCAGTCCTTCTCAGGAAGGTCGTGGAAGATCAACGCGGGGAGACGCCGTAAGATTCGACTTTCACTTAAAAGAGGACGTAAAAAGCTTTTATAGCCCGCTGGTTAGTTTGTCTTCGCGGTTAGTTGCTCGCCTTTTTCGTTACGTCTTCTACCTTTTTCTAACGATTTGAAGCAAATATTACTTAACTAATACGTCAGGTATAAATTTATGAGATTGTCTGTGCCTTTCATGTCATTCGAAATGTCTGCTAGCTGCCTTTCCTTTTTATCCCTAGTGATTTTCCCTTCAGTTTGCAAAATATTGATAGATATCAGATTTCCTCATGAAGCGCTTTCCTTATCTATTTCTTATTATAATAGCTTTGTTCTCTGCTTTTCTTTTCGAGGATGCCCTTGCTGAACTTCCTTGCCATTACAAAACTCAGCGATTGGAATGTGGGAAATTAGCCTGCAATAAGACGAAGAATATATGCATTAACTGCACAGAGGATGCTGACTGCTATCCAGCGGCCATGGAATGTATTCTCGTTTCCGGCAAGTGTCGTGTTAAGCCTCTGAAAAAAGGTTTTAGCTATAGAACGGTGCTGGCAATGCTCGGTGGTCTTGTGGTGTGTGCGATCGGGGTGATTTCTGGGGCCGGTGGTGGCGGCATTCTTGTGCCACTGTATGCTGCCTCAATGCAACTTCCCTTGGAGACCGCGGTAGGAATTTCTCAGGTCACTGTGTGCGGGCAGAGCGTCTTGAATGTATACATGTCGTCTCAAAGGAAATTTGTAGACACCATGTGGGACCGTCCACTCATTAACTACCAGTACCTGAGCTTGTTGCTCCCACTAGGTCTATTGGGAACCTTATTTGGGATACTGAACACGATACTTCCTGATATTTTACGACTGATATTTCTCTTCTCGCTACTACTGATCGTTTTGTATCGTACAATAAAAAAGACCTTAAAGCAATATAAAGAAGATAAAAGGCGAAGAAATGCCATGTCACCTTGCGAAACCAATTTCGATTCGTCGCAGCCATTCGCGGAAACTCAGGCAACGCCTGAGGAACCTGTAATCCATCGTATACCACAAGAACAGTACCCCATTAAAAATTTACTTACGTATGTATTTTATTTTATTGTATTACTTGTATCGGGTATTATTCGTGTATACTGCAGATGTGGAGGTGTAGCTTATTGGTTATCGGTGATTGTACCAGCTTTAATTCTCCTCGGAGGGTTTTGCTATACATATTATCGTTTGAATCAGTTACACAGTGTGTGCCCCGACGCGATAACCTTCAAATGGGGGCGCAAGACTGCCTTGTACTTCCCGCTCGTAGCAATTCTTGCCGGTGCAGCGGGAGCCATCTTGGGCATTGGTGGGGGTATGGTACTTGGTTTTATTCTTTACGAGATTAATTTGATCCCAGACGAAGTGTCGGTAACTAGCAACGTGGTTACATGTTTTATTGCGCTTACCTCCTCGATTCGCTCACTTTTAAAAGGTGATATACCCTATGATTTTGCCATCGTCTTTTGTTTAGTTGGTGTAGTTAGCACACTGCTTGGAAACATGGTTTTCTTGAAATATATACGCAAACACGGGCTGAAATTTCTTATCATTATGTGCTTGGTTTTAGTGGTGGTTGGCTCTTTGGTGGCGACTGGTACATATGGCATATTTGATTTATTAGACAAGAAAGATAGTGCAGGCATTTTCAAGTTCGGAAAGTTGTGCATTCCACAATAGGGTGCAATTATAGGTGAGTATTTTTACTGTTAAAACAAAGGAAATTCGACATGATTCTCTATAACAACTCGAACAATTCTTTCTATAAAATTTACTCATCTATACCTCTGAATTTTTTATTTCCACAATACTGCCCTTTGAAATCTTAAATTCATCAGTTCTGCTGTCTTCAAAAGTCCAAAAAAATTGGCTAATGCTTGTAGGGATAAAATCTTAACAATTGCGTTTAGTGGTGCCACGCCCATAGCCGCATAGATAGGAAGCGTGCGTGATCAAAATCCATGATAAGAAAGCGATAATAACTAAACTACTTATGCTTTTTACATTATTTTTTAAAATTCATAACCGTTCATTGGAAGATGCTTATCTTTCAGAAATATATTGGGAAAAATTTTGATACACCTTCGCATAACACAGGTTGTCAAGTCATCTATTTTTATTATCTTGCGGAGGAAAATTATTAAGTTTAGCATGCGCGAGAGAGAAAACGCAAATGATACTATAGTTTTCTATTTCTCAGCAATTCTTCTTGTTTAAGTGTTAATATGTTTTTGGACATAAAAAATAATATTAATGGTGAGTTTTATAGCATTTATAAAATTAATTTAATATATAATTTTAATTTCACGTAATCATTACTCATAAAAAAGATCTTTGATATATTATGTGTCCATTTTTTTCTACATGAAGGAGCGTTTTTCAAATGTGTTACTGTTGATTTCAAATCTTTTTTACTGTTTTTTCTTTTCTTGTGTGTGTCACGAAGCGGCTTTCATTTGTATTCTTCTCATTAAAGGATGATTGAATTGCATATATATGAATATTTAGATCTATACACAAAAATTTTTAATTCGGTAATCACTGAAAGGTTTAGCGCTCTTGTTTGTTTTTATTCATCTCTGTCGGTCCTTATTAATTGATATTCGTAGTGGCACATTGACATTATGTTCAGGATCCTGTGTGATAGTTTCACTTCAGTGAAAACACCCTCACAAACCTCTTTTCTGTGGTAAGGTAAACGACGCGTATATTGTATGCTATAGGTACAGTTTTACTTTACAGTGACGCAGCGCACGTGAACTATGTCAGTGATATTACTAACAGTGAGGTAGATGCAATATCCACTAATCAATTTGTTAGTTCATTTCCATTTATTTATGAAATGACAGTACATGTCACAGCATACCTGTTGCTTATCAATAACGATGGTAGTAATCTAGCGCTCTCTCATTGCTGTATAGCGATTCTGCAAGGAATTGGCTATTTTAGGAATGCCATTTTTGATTCTTCTATGTGCAGTCTGGTAAAAATGTTTCCAACAATTTCAGACAACATGGGATCCACAGTTCGGAATGGGCTGCAAGCCGAGAGCACCTGAAGGCATGAACATACCAAAAGCTTATCTTAAATAGTGCAATCTTTGACTCTCAATTTTAAGTTACTCTCCATTAATTTTGGAGAGAAGGTCTGCGTTTCTTTTTTTGTGTGTATCTTCTATGCAATTTTTTTTTGTTAATTTTGGGCATGCTGTTTACTGCTACCAATGCTTTCAGAAATAGCGGGAAATACACTAAGAACTCACATTTCCGCTTTTCACGTTAGTGTTTACTACATTTGCCTAACTGGGGAGCACCATTTATTTATTTTTCACTCTTTGGCGTTTTCTCTCGTCTTACGCTTATCAAATGCCGGTTTTCATATTTGAATGTGAGGACATTTGAATGGTGATGTGTAACTGTAAGGGTTCTGATGAATACCGTTCCTTTTCAGGCTTGAAGTATTACCAATAGGCGTGTATCTTAAAGCGTTCGAATAATAAAACACCGAGATTATCTAACTTATTTAATGTGGATTACTATTCATATATTTAATCTTGTCTTGTTTGTTGAGTTTTCGAAAAGTTTGATCTGCGCGGCGTATTACGCACTTGGTCAGAAAATAGCAGCATATGTCTTTAGCATTTGGTTGTCCCTTGAGGGGAAGTAAGTAAGGAGGTGAAGCCCGTTACTTGGTTATGGAGTGTGGAGGAAAACGTGTCTGGCTCACTGATTGGTGTTGAAAATGATCCGACGTCACAGATACAGTCTTTCTCCTTTAAAGGCGCGCGGTGTGTTCTCTCTCATTTCCACAAACCGCAGACATTATTGATTCTATAAAGGGTTGTTTGTTTTCCATCAAAAATTGTTTCCTGCGGAATAGTTTATGCTTGATTTTTATCTGTCCACTTCCGATTTGAGTATTTCGTTGGCATCGCACTTGGATTTCCTGCAGCAACATTATTTTTTTATTCATCCTAATATTACCCTTTTCATGATAAAGTCCAAGTTCAGGATATCTACTTCCCAGAGTCTTTCCCTTCCTTTGTAAACGAGGAAGCTTTCAGGGTTCACCACCCTTAGACTAACTTCCCTAGTGCAATGTGTCCTGTTATTAGAATGGTGTGTTATTTCATGTATAGTGCGTAAAATCAGAGATATCCGTCCTTAATGGGAGTGCGTAATTGAGAGGAGCTATAAGCAATCATAACTTATTTTTGACTTTCCTCTATAAGGGTTATGATAAGACATCAAGGAGCATAATCTATAATGCTGTATTGGAATATGAAAAGCATATAAATTGTTTGAATTCTATGCTTACTAGAAAATAATTTGTGCATATTTTTTATATACGCTTTAGCATATTTTTCATTTTCAGTCGCATAACACCATGAACATTGACATGTGTTTTGTTTTGGAAATAAGTGTTTACTTAATTTTTGGAGCAAATTGAAGTTTACAAAGACTTTTACATTTATAAGCAAAGTTCTAGCTTTATCATTATTTAATTTTGTTTTTGCCCTTTCACTGCTATTACTTATTGACATTGTCTATTTCGCTTAAGCTTCTTTATCTTATTATTATTTTTACCAAAAGAAGTTATTAATAGTTATAAGAAGTGGAAATGGACACATTCAAGTCACTCACGGTAGGTGCCAAGTTTAGCCATTCCCGAAACAGTGCTCCTTCAAAATTGTTCTCACACGGGAAGACAACAAAACCTTTTATGGGCTCGCTTGAGCTCTTAAATCAGTTAGACAATGGTGAAGAAAGTACCAATGTCAAAGACACTGTTTTTTCTCCCCAGCCTAGCATAAATATTGATATGTTTGAGGGTGTTTTAGATCATCGAAGTGGTGGTATTGATCCTGGTGCTCCTGCGGACGATACGCGAAGTAACCAAGCCCCAAAATCGAATCCTCTGAAGCCGATGAGCTATAAAAAGATGAAAAATACGTGGCGAAAGAACGACTTGCAGGTGGTGGGAATCGACATTCCAGCTCCTATCACACACTTTTCTGATTTGGTTCGTCCTCCTCTGAACGTGCAGGCTAACGTGATTGGAAATTTGTTTGAACGCGATCATAAGTTGCCTACGCCAATTCAGATGCAGGCAATCCCATCGCTAATTCACGAGCGCGACGTTTTGGCGTGCGCGCCCACTGGATCAGGCAAGACTATAGCTTTTCTAGTTCCTATGTTTGCATTGCTTAAGGAACCAAGCCGTGAGACAGGAGTACGAGCGCTTATTGTGTCTCCGACAGTAGAGCTGGCACAGCAGATTGAGCGTGAGGCCTTTTTCTTAATGAGAGGCCAGCGCTGGCGTTTTGTTCAGCATGGTCAGACCACTAGAAACAAAGATATCATGATCTCTAGCCCAGGACGCATCGTTTCGCTGCTTGAGAAAAGGCTCTTGGACTTGTCACAGGTACAGTACATTGTGTTTGATGAGGGTGATCGTCTCTGGGACACCGGGACCGACTTCATTCAAGTTGTGGACAAAATCCTATTAGCATGCTCACGTAAAGATAAGGTCATTTCTCTTTTCACAGCTACACTGAGTGAAAAAATTGAAACGGCCGCACGAACCGTCATGCGCGGAGATCCCATTCGCATAATTGTGCGAGGGCGGCAAAGTTCCAACACAAAGGTCCAGCAGAAGCTTGTTTTTTGTGGAAATGAACTTGGGAAGATAGTAGCGATGCGCAATCTCATCCGAGAGGGCATAACACCGCCTGTTCTTATTTTTGTTCAAAGTATTGAGCGCACTAAAGAGCTCTACGATGAAATTCGCTCACAGGGGTTGCACGTTGCTTTCATAAACGCCAAGATGAGTATTGAGGAGCGTGATGAGACTGTGCTTAACTTTCGATTAGGTAAAATTTGGTTTCTTATCACGACGGAGTTGTTGTCCCGTGGCATTGACTTCAAAAATGTTGGTACTGTGATCAACTTCGATTTCCCTTTATCGGTTGCATCTTACATCCATCGTGTAGGTCGCACTGGTAGAGCTGGGAAGCATGGTATCGCCATCACATTCTTCACCGAGGATGATCGTGAAAGACTTCCGCCAGTCGCAAAGGTTATTAAAGAGTCTGGAAATGATGTGGAAGATTGGATTTTGGAGATCAAAGTGGATCGTGCGTTGCGGCGTCGCCTAGAAAGGACAACACCACGACGCATGATTGTGAGCACACGGAAACGCATGCTCATTGCCGATCAGCGTATAGAAAGGCAATATCGCCGTTTGGAAAGTGAGGAAGCAGCCAATGCTAGCCAAACAGGAAGGTAAGGCATTGCCACTATTGATGCCAGTATGGATGTGACAAGCAATTAAAAATAAAAAGAGGAACTAAATGCATAAATATAAATAATTGCGTATAATATTCAAGTATTTAAGTGTTCCCAACCGTAATAGTCTTCGTTTTTGGGGTTATTTTCTCTTTATTTGAGATCGGTTAACTGCTAAAATTTCATTGAGTGCTTCTACAGTATGATGTCGATCAACTATGTTGGTAGAATAACTGTTCTCCTTTCCCGAAAAAGTCGTACTTACTATTTTCGGAATTAAGTAATTTGACTACTCAAATTCATTCCACAACGTGCGATCATCTTACCAGGATAGTATATTTATTGTTGTTCTATTTTATCTTGCTTTATTCATCAAATTTATACTAAAAATCTTTATAGGGTAAGTAGAAAAAAATATATCCCAAATTTATATACACAGTGACGTCCTTTTCCTGTCTGCAAGATATTAATTTCGACGTGTGTGCCATGCCTACCACTTACAACATCTCTGAAGCAAAATTGCTGGCTGTAGTTCTTCAGGGTGAGGATAACTATTGGTTCGCAGAGCCCCGTACTTCTAAGCCACTAGAAGAGAATTGGACTCATGTGGGTTGTTTTTGGCTTTACCCTGTGGAATCTGGGATTGCTCAATTCGCTGATCTGAAGGAATTTGACCCCACCGACTCAGTGTTCGAAATCGACACACAAGGGGTGTCCAAAGTTCTTCGTGCGGCTACTTTATCCTCTGATGTCGCAGCGAAGAAATACCATCAGGGCAAGAGGACCTTTTATTTTATTACACAAAAGGAAATAAGCCGGATGGATATTCGTTACAGTGCATTACTAAAAAGAGAGGCGGAGGTACTCCCGTTATTGCACCAACAAGATGAAGTTGGGCGAAACGGAGGCCATAAAACACAAGTTGGAGATATACCATCGGATACCCACGAAGAGCCAAAGAATAATGCCCCAAAGGTGTCCCACATCAAAGAAGAAGATGATGAAGCGACAAAGACATTCAAGTCCGAACAAATGTCTCTAATTGATAGGCGATCCCACCAGCGCAAAACACCATATCAAGGAACCACCACTTACATCGCTCCTGACTTTAATAAGCCCACGGGGGATCATTGCAGTAGCGAGGCATTTGAATGGGATCGGTACTACATCATCCATCGTGGAAGTGTCGACTATTTAGTTCCAGAGCCAATCGGTAATACGTATGGCTTCCGCTTAGATAAAGTCTCGCATGACGGCTTTCCTGTGTTTTTGCTTTTTGGAAGCAGTGTGAAGAACAGCTACGAGGTGGAGCCAAGTGCTAACGCTGTTCCCGCGATGGATTCGGCGGTCCTGAAGGGTGGTGGTGGCGAAACTGAGCGTGTTGGAAGTCATGTGCTGGTGTTAACGCGCCCGCGTGGGAAGCGATCTCGCGCCAATAACTTCCACGCGAGAGCTGACTCGGTGTCTTTCTCACCAGGTAAAGCGTCGCGGTCATCCTCACGCTCAATCTCAGCCAGCGATAACGGCAGCGAAGGGGCGAAGGCCGCGCTGTCACTCGTGGTTCCATCGCGTAAGCGCGGGCGGCCGCGGAAGGTGCCGTTTTCGACGCCTTCCGCAGAGAGCGAGGCCACCGCCAGCGCGAAAGTGCCGGCTCTACCGCCACGTGAGCATCACAAAAGCCATGAAAGTTCTAGAAAAACTGACGATAAGCCCCGGGAACCTCTTCAGGCCTGTAGTGTGAACGTGTGGACGGATTTGACTTCTGAGATTTCGTCTTTCACTCAGTTAGCAACTCAATTCCCTTTTTCGCACAATCCCTCGAAGTCTTTGCGCACTGTTGTCTTTCCGGATGGAACCTGCGCGACGTATTCGTCTACCACCGCTGAGGATTTCCTGAAGAGCACTGACACGAGAAGACATTCAAATGGAGCGAATCAGTCGGCAAGCTCCAGCGGTGGTGGTGCACCTGTAGATGACGACATGAGAAGCCTTTTAGAGCATATTCAACTTGCCAAGCAACAAGTCAATGCATAGTTTCTTCGATATACAAAAGGGCTAGGGACTTGTTTTCTAAGCGTTAGTTAAAGCTTTTCGTATTTGCTTCCTGTACACATAACCCATAGAGATTGTATTATTGATAAGGAACCTTAAATTAGAGTGAGGTATTTTGATAATTTATGTGCGTTCGGTTCTATTTTCGGCCCTATACCTGATAAAATTATGTTATCATGATTATCATCGTTTGACATCTCAATCTAAACAAGCTTCTGCTGTCTATGCATATTCTCAAAAAGGGTAAATGCTACGGTTTAAGACTACACTCACGCTTTTCACCCGTGGAGCGTCGCGTTTTGCGGGCCACCGCAAAGAATTCATGGCTGCTTTTCGAGAGTTACCAACAACACCGAGTGGCAGGAATCCTTATGATGTGTTGGAAATTGATGTTACTCCATCCACTTCCCTAGAAGATGTCTCTAAGCAGTTTCGAAGCTTAGTCGTTAAATATCACCCTGATAAACCTGGTGGCAGCACTGAAAAAATGTCCGAGATCAACTTAGCCTACACGATTGTCAAGGAAAACCATGATAAGGTTCTTTCAAAAATGGCTGAAGTGGAAAGTAGCATTAAGGCAAATTCTGTTTACCGCCAGCATAAGCACGAGCGAGCCATCCGAGATGAAGAGCTGCGTCGCTCTGGGGGGGTTCATCGACGCAATAGCAGAGCTGCGCAGCAGCCTTCATACGGCCGAACTCGCTCATTAAAAGAGATTGAGCTGCAATGGGAAAAATACCGGGAAGAGACTGAAGTGTCTATGAAGAGTATGTGCAAACGCTACGAGATCGCTATCGAAATGGGCAAGTTTCTCAGGCAATCAGCCAATTTAAATGAGATTAGTGCGCGTGAGCGCTGGCTTCGTAAGTCTTTCATCAAGAACATTTGGGAGGATGTCCATGAGCTGCGTGGGGAGCTACTTCGCCGAGGGGCTCGCAGTGCGCAGCAATCTGAGCTTGCAGAGTCAATGGTGTCCTTCGCTTCTGTGACGCAGCGCAAGCTAAACGAGGACTTCCAGCGTCTGACTCAGCAAAGTGTGCAAGGTCAGTCTCGAATGTTTGTGGAGCGTGTGCTCGTTGTGATGTGCTTTTCTATACTGTTAGTGAATTTATGGAAGTCTTTTTTCCGTTGGTGCTTTAAACCCACATCAAAGATCCACACTTAAATAAAGGATGTGTGCCGACTTGAGGATCGTTTTTGGGAGTTATTTGGCCTGTTGTGATATTCGAACTGCGTGTGAATAAATGGATTCGACTCGATGGAGCTTAGACACTTCGTGGATTTCGATTCCCTTGGCGTTATTATGTTCGCTTATTTCTTCTTCCTGCTGCCCTCCCACGTGTGCGTCAGATCTATCGTTTTTTAATACTTATCTTTTCAAAACAACAAATGTGGAATGTGATAAATAAATCTCAATCTATATTGCATCCCAGAATTCTAGTTTCCTTATTCCTTCAAACCCCCACTGTTGGTATTATACCATCACTAGATTCTTTAATCATACCTTTTTACCTCATATATATTTAGTAGCTGAAGAGAAAAGACATACAGTAAAAGGGGTGCAGTTCAGGAACAGATATAACACTTCTGCAGATCGATGTATAATGAATTCCTAGCCACATGCTCAGCTGTAATCGACCCTTTTGCTGTACCAAATGAAGATGAAGCCGATCGAATCAAGCGTCTACTGTGGATTCAGAACGTCGAAAAAGAAATGAGTCTCCATCGGAGTCCATTTGTTGCAGCTGAGACTCTGTGGAAAGAGACTGAGACATTCGCGAAGCATATGCATCATCCAGATAATCTCTATCTGCAGGTAGCTCTCCCAGTATTGCGACAGTGTGTCCCTGCCCTGAATGACACATTTAGTGACGTTGTGTCCGCTGCTATTCATGAGCTCATTCCTGTTGTTTTCTTCACACGCAGCTCTTTCTTAAGTGATCAGCAGAGTAACGATAGCGCAAGCGAATGTGACAGAACACTTACACGGGTCAGCTTCTCAGAATGCTTCTGGAGCTTATATAAATTCCACCAAGATTGTGAGGTGAAATTGGCAATCTTTGAAAAGAAAAAGGCGCTAGAAAATGCTGTCATGGGGCGTTTAGTGCGCTCTCTAGATCGACTTTTTGTCAAGATGTGTTTCCTTTCTTGGAGAACCTACTGCCGGGCACTCCGAGCAAAGACCGTCTTTTTCCAGAAACTAGCGCGACGAGGAATGACGTGCTATACAGTGCCGCGCTTCGTTGTAGCCTGGCGACGATATGCCCATACGCTGATGCTTAAGGCAAAGCTTGCAAGAATAAACGATTATGCTTGTCGACTTGAGCTGTTATACCCCCAAGAGTGTGCAGCGAAGAACCTTCATGAACGCATGAATGAGGAGTTGCGCGAGAAGATGCGTCTACTTAAAGCGGAAGAGGTGTGCGAAAAACAAACCAAGGAGCGTTTGGGTGCTCTGCAAGACCTTTATAAAGAAACTCAAAAGTCTCTTCGGGAACATTGGTCAGAGTGGTGCCGATGCGTAAAAGCCGTGTTTGGAGACGCCCATCCGTATGACTACAGTATGGAGGAAAACTTCTCCCATAAGAGGGTTGTTTATGATCCGAATATTACGGATAAAGCATCTTTGTATATTAAGCGAGCCAAATCCCATACAGGGAGGATAGATATTAAACAAATTCAGCAATGCTTGTATTCACAAAATGCCTCGCGTTTGGATTCAAAGCAGGGAATAAGCTATGCAGAAAATTCTTTTAAACATTACACTAAAGAGGATCCTAGCGTTCCTGATGCTTTAGTGCGTTATAGTTTCCCATTCATCTCGCGAAATCAGTATAAGGAGCTAATGACCTTGCTGGATGTGGCTTGCAATTCAGTGATTTCACCGCTCCATCTCTGTGACATTATGCACAACAACCAAAATGCTTTAGCAATGGTGCTCAATTTCATCGTCTGTATGTATGGTGGTGGCCATTGTTCGTTGTTTAAGCCATCCCTTCGTTTGTGTGCTGATGTATTGAGCAACAAAGGACTGCATGCGGCATCGCCACCTCAAAATACTGATGACAGCAGCAACATCGCTGAGATGCCGTCTAATTTCACCGCCGTATCGATGTTGGTGGATGTTTCACAGGGAATGGAGCGTCTGGAGTCCTGTTCCGCAAAGAATGAACGCTACCTCATGTCAATTCGTCGCCTAATGGATGTATCGGAAACAAGACACATTCAGGACTATATTGAAGCGTTGTTCGAGTATTTGAGCAGTATGGAACTCCCTCTTGATCGAGAAAAGATCGAATGCGTAGCCGTCGACTTTGTTAAGCCCGCTGATGGCCCGGTAGTGCATGCGCTTTACCCTTCAGCCGGAATTTCAACTCCGTCAGAGTTGATTAACTACCTCACGAGCTTAGCGGAATTCACTGGTTGGCCGTTGTTGCGAATTGCGGAACGTCTTGAGCTTGAGTACCCTTGTGATGCTAAGGATGATCTTGTTTGTAGCTTTAATGGGAGCGATGTTACTCAGTCCCTGCAGGAACACAGTAGCAGGCTTTTGAGTCTCTTTGAGATCCTAAAAGAGGACCAATCCCTGAACGCTTTATCGAAGGAAAATACAAAAAATATGCTCATAAATGCACTGCATATGTCCCCTATGCACGCGGATGGGGTGTGGGAAGATATCGAAGCAAAAAGAAAGCATGTCACAAAACAGGAACTTGGTGAGCTGCTATTTATTGCGGCTCATTACTTAGATTCGTCACCATTCACAGCTCCTGTTGTGAAGCTGCGAAACGTTTTGGATAGATGCAATACTTACGCGGAACAACTCAATACCTCCAGTTAGGATTGCGAGCAGTGGTATGAATATCTGGGTGTCTGTGGGTGTGGCGGAAGAATGGAACAATTTTTTTGCCATTTTGTGCTTTTTTTCATTTAAGTTCTTGATAATGTATAATATATTTATCAGTGCGAATATGTTCATTACATCTTTCATGTGCACTTTTGTCCTCCATTTTATATACCTTTTTGTTGCATGTTTCAACTTTCGAACATTACAAATACGGTTTTTGCACCTGTCCATTGCATTTTATCTTCCCCTATATCACCATCAACTTTCGTTGCTTGGAAAGCAATGTATTAATGATACAACTTCACATACTTCGCGTATGACGCGTTTTTTTCCCCACTCCCTAAGTCATTTTTTTATACATCTAGGAACTTCTTTGACTGACCCTACAACTTCATGGGTTATTTAGCCACTGAACATAAGACTTTTGTTCATCACATCGCGCTTGATCCGTCCGGGTCGCTGCTTGCGTCGTGCTCGAGCGACAAGAGTGTGGAGGTATTCTACCGTCACCACTCCCCTGGAGGGGGTGACGCCTGGCAGCTCGGCTGCACCATAGCGGACCACTCCGGACCGGTGCTACGGCTCACCTGGTGCCAGCATCGCGAACACGGCCCGCTGCTCGCCACCGCCGGGGCGGACCGCTGGATTTACGTCTATCGTATCGCTGTTTCCTCGCACAAAGGGAACCCCGTGGTTCGTTCCATCCGTTGGTTACCAGTGCGTGGCTACGAGAAGGATGCTATCACCGACGTGGCCTTTGTTCCACCTCAGCAGTACCAAGTACTGCTCCTTTCCACTGCCTCGCTGGATGGCTGCGTGCGGGTCTACGAAGTTCATCAACCACTGCAGTTTCCCTGTATTTGCAAGATCATTCCGGAAGCGGGTGGGTCCGCCGCGGAAGTAGGCGGAGTGGCTGCAAGGAGAGAGTCCCCTACCACTATTTTGAGGGCATCTGATGGGGTTAGTGGCGCTAGCACTTCTTCACAGCAGGCAGAGATCCCAACTTCCACAGTGGGGCGCCCGCCAGGGGTGACTTCAATGATCCGATCCGCTGCTTCGCCACTTAGTCCTGCTTCTCCCGTGAGTCCTACCTTTTCTAGCGGCTGTGAGACAGTTCTTGGCGGCCCTGCACAGCGAGGTAGTGGAATTTCTTCCATTGCTTGGTTCCCTAGTGCGACGGAGTCAACGATGACCCTCGCTGTTGGAGCGGTCTCCGGCCGTTTTTACATGTATCGTTACCTGAAAGAGAGCACCTCGTTCGAGTCGATCGCACTCCCCCCTAATGTAGCGTGTCAGTCACCGATTGAGGGGTTGCAGTGGGCTCCGCCTCTAGGTAGGCGATTTCAACTCATCGCGATTTGTTCTCGGACAAGCGTCCTGATATTACGCATGAACACAGTTTCACCTTCATACGAGGCAGTTGATAAGTTGAGTTTTGAGCTGTATAAACATCCAACAGGTGCTGTGAGTGCATCATGGAGTCGCTCTGCTACCCTGCTACATTTGGTAACAGACGACCAAAAGACGGAGATGTTTGTGCTTCAGATGTGCGACCCGACGAACCATCAATCATGGGAGTTAGTTTCGTCACATCATGCAGAACTAACTAGGTTTTGATCACAAGCTTTTCCATTTGTGTATCAAGGATTATGCGTTTTTGCTTCACAATCGCCGTTTTGTTGCTGCTGCCTGTGTACTTCTAGTCAAGACTGTAAAATTACCCTTTTTTGCTGCCGATTCTGAATTATTACGCTTAAAGGTTATTACTTGTTTCCGCTGCTTTTCTTACCCTTGATGTGTGCCTGCTCTTTTGCTCGTATTTTCCATTAATTTGTACCTACAGTAGTCATTTTTCCCTTTCCACTCCTTGTAGGTCTTAAAAAGAAAAATCAAGTACATGCATCAGGGGGGAGGCAGGTTTAGCTCCGCCAGCTCAACTGCTGAGGTAGGGCTTTGTTCTATGCACCGCCGCAAACGTCTTAGAGTTGACTTGATTCCGTGTGAGGAGCAACCGAACCGACTGCGCTGCAACCCCAGGCGGGAGTGCCACTTTAAGGATTCGGTGGAGTACGCCGTCTGCGATGTGCACAACCGCCGCCGCAACATTAATCAGATGAAAGAGGTGCGTAAAGGTGTGTGGGAGTGCCTGCCGGAACATCTCTGCCGTCAGCATGGCAACACGAGTGCTGCAAATGCTCGAGCAAATGGTTTGCCGACTGAAACTCCGTTCGGTCAGCCTTTTAGCGGTAGGCGTCGCGCCCGTAACGAGCGGTACGTCAACGATGCGTCCAACGTTATGAGCTGGGCACCCTCCGCGACGCCACTACCTGCTCCATCCCAGCAGGCACAAACCAGTGGAAGTGCCCTACTAGACGAGGCTGGTGCACATCAACTTGATTCCAACAGGCGCCTAGGAACCGGCAGGGGGCTTGCGGCGGAGCGCAAAGTTTGGTGTGCACGACATGGGAAGCTACTGTATATCAATCAATGTGAAGCATTGCAGGATTCCTGCTACGTTTGTCGCGACAGTAGCTTGTGCTTATCTACCCCTTTGGACCCGCCAAGCACGCTTATGGAGAAGTCCCCCATGGAGGTGTTATGCATCAAGCATCATACACTACGTCTTGCGGATTTTGTTGATCTGAACACGGATAAAACCGGATATCAATGCCAGCGAGGCCACGCTTGTCGGATCTCAACACTTCCCACTCGTGTGAACCTTAGCCTCACGAAGGATACCATGCCTGCCTCTTACGAAGCTAACGTCCCATCTCAGGGAGAAGAAGAAGAGGAGGATCTCCCAGCTGTCCAAGGTTACCTTAGTGCTGTAGCGACTGACACTTTCGTGCCGGCATCAGGAAAGGAGACCGTATCTTCCTTTTTTATATAGAAAACAGTTGAATGGCATGTGTTTTGAATATGATGTGTGTGTCGGGGGGGGGGGATAGTCTAGCAACGATATATTTTTGGGTTTTACTATTTTTGTCATACACGCGGTTCTCAAGGAAAGGGCTTTAAAAACGTGTATACACTAGTTAAGGATCGTCTTACAATTTTTGTAGACCTGAGTAAAGGTAGGTCATTAAATGCTATACGTTTGCGCACGTTTCCTTCTTCTCGAAGGATCAATTGGCCTGGTCTTAGTGACATTTTTCTCTATCTCATATGTTTGTTTCTGACCATAATTATGATTAGTATTGTTAAGGTTTTTATTATAAACAACAACATACAACCTTATAATGGCGACTATGGCTACACCGGAGATGGCGGCGTACTGTTTCAGCGTCATTTTAGCGAAGTTGCAGAACGCCCCTACCCCCACATGCTCTTCAGACATCCCCAACACACCGTCGCCTATCTTTGTGACTTTCAAATACGTGTCTAACAACGATCTGAGAGGGTGCATGGGAAGTTTTGCCTTCCTACCACTGCACGAACAGTTACATAACATTGCATTGGTCGCAGCATTCAAGGATAGGCGATTCTCGCCCATTAGCTTGAATGAATTGCCTCAACTTATGTGTACAGTTAGTCTTTTGAACAACTTCGAGACGTGTTCAAAATGGAATGATTGGGTCATTGGCACACATGGAATTTGGATAAAAAACAAGCAATATAGCTCCACTTACTTGCCCTCTGTGGCCGTGGAACAGGGCTTTAATCATCTCAAGACCGTTAAGTCACTATTAGCTAAAGGTGGCTACCATGGCCCTGTAGATGAGAAGGTTCTTTCTTTGGTACAGGTGGTTCGTTACCAAGTATCTTGCACAAGCATTACATTCGAAGACACAAAACTATTGAAGGTATGATTCGGTTTATTTTGTTTTTCTTTTGTTGTTTGTTTAAGAGAAACCCATTTATGGTGGCAAAAAGTTCATTATTCGAATTGTTCTCTGTATTTTCGATTTTATGCACTCTTTATCAATAGAGAACAATATTTAAGTGTGTGAATTCATCCTATGTATTTTTTTCAGCGATGAACACATTTTTTTCTTCGAGAAAAAATACAGTTTCGGGTTCCTTTTCTTTTATTCGACGCCTCTTTTCATAAAAAGAGGTCTTAAATAGATTTGCCGTTTATTCACAAACTGGGTGTGGAATGAACAAGCGTCATCGACGTCAATAACGATGAGGAGAAAACTCATCGTCTATAACATATACAGAATTTTACTTGCTTTCTATTAGACACTCCACTTTCCTTTCTGTTTGAATTCTTATCTTTCATTTTTTCTGGTGTGAATACATTTCCCACTCTCAGGGTTTATTATCTTTATTGCTCTTTCCTTTTTCATATACTTCTTTCTTGATATTGCTTTCCTACATGGGAGGATGGCAGTGTAACTGTATATCTTTGCTACACGTAGCGCATTACATATTTCGACTTTAAAGCTGGCGTTGCCAATCATCAACGGACGAAATCACTCTTAGCAGAGGGAACTATTTCAAGAAGAGTACTATGCATTATGGAATCCACGCAGTGGAGTATTATGCCCAGTGCAGCTGAATTTATCATGCGCGACAAGTCTATATTGCTCTATCCTCTGTAACGAATCCAAGTTTCAGTCTGGAACTTGGTAAGTCTTGCAAATCTCAAAGTGGAGGAATCGAGCGGTCTTCGGCCTTGACGCCATTTGGATTGATGAGAGTAGCATCATTAATCAGCTCCTGTTTGCTTCCTTGCCAAATATTCTTTCACCACCCAATTTCATTATTAGAGCGTCAAGTGTGTCAATAACTTGCTAGCGAAAGGTACGTACAGACACTGGATAGAAAGAGAACAAGGTGACGGTTTTAAGAATATTTTTAATTAATATTCTCATTATTTGGGATTCTCTTTTATCTTCTTTCTTTGTCAAGTGAGACGGGATAGACAATGTATTTATTTTATTGTTTCGTGTCGCTTTGAATATCTTTTCTTTTGTTTTCTTTTCAATCGTTAATACTTATTATCTTAGGGAAAAGGAGGAGTGTTGATACATTGCTTATGTAGTGTTTAAATACCAAACATGAATACGCATTCTACGTGATACGATGTTCAAATGTTGCTGAACACAAAATATGTCTGAAAATGTACTTCAAAAAGTTTTTGATGTCACCGGATAGGAGTCCGTTGCTTCTAAAAGTATTTCTGTGAGCGTTCTTCTTCCTATTTATGGATTTTTGATACTTTTTAATTTTATTAGGTTAACTTTACCAAGTCAGCTCAAAAAGGTTGTACAGTTTATTTAGTGTTATACACGAATTTCCAACAGTTATCGCATACACAGACACACACACAAATATATCTCTATATCTATATATACATATATATATAAATATAAATATATATATCATTCTTCCCTCCTCCCCTTGTATTTGCTGTCGAAAGGTCTCCCCATCTATCGTCTGTGCTAGTACTACAGAATAACATGACTTACTATTAGTCTCCTACCTGTTTAAAGATGTTGAAACACCGGCTCAGTTTACTTTTGTCTAGGGGTGAGCGTGGGCTGTACTTTCCAATTAATCATCGCATTGTGGATCGGCGAATCGAGCCATCTGCTGTGGAGGAGGCAAATGTTCAGTCGCGTTACCGCCGCGAGCTTCGGACTAGTTTTATGACCGGCGAGACGCGCCAGACTGAAACACCGGGATGGAGTCGACGCATACCACCTACCCACTTTATCTCGTTGCGGTTACCACCAAGAAACGCCCTCACTGGACGGGTAGAGGCGATGCGGGGTTCGATTCTGTTCACGCACTCCCACATGGAGCCACTATTTATCCCCATTCCGAGATTACACGTCACGTTGTGCGTCATGAGCATTGATCCAAAACACAAAGATGATCTGCTTAGGGTGGTGGGTGAGATTCTGCACGAGGCGTGTCTGTCCGTCCCTAGAAATCCACTACGACTGAGGTTTCGTGGTCTAGGCACTTTTGGACAGGGCCGGGTGCTCTTTGCGCGGTGTATCACTGAGGGCGACTTCACGAGCCTTGATGCGCTGGTGCAGCGCATCCGCAGGGAGCTCGGCGTGGGGCTCCGCATTGACATCAAAGGAAATCCCTTTGATACGTATGTGCCACACTTGACGATAGCCAAGATTAGACCAAGCCACATACCGGAATTCGGAAATAAAATTCCTATCACTGTTTGGTCGAAATACCAGCATCACGACTTTGGTGACGTTACTTTTAACACAGTGGACTTGTGCAGCATGACTGGTTATGCTGAGGATGGTTATTACAACGTAATCTCCTCCTCCAATCTTGGATCTAGGACTGCAGTGTCGTCGTGATTGGACAACCCCGCTCCACTCTTTTCGAATTTGTTAGTTGCCGGACGACGGCAACTGCTCATAGCTTTTTTATCTGGACTGAACTGTAAACAAATACACGCACACGCAAAGGAATTCGTCCATACACTGATATGCAGTTTGTAAGAGAAATAAAGAAAAGAGAAAGAATGGATATAGCAGTTAACAATCGCGTTAGGATTGCTGCATACCCCCATGCCAATTATCTTTTTACAGTTATGATTTTCACACCTCGACAACTGGGTCGAGTGCCTTTTGAGTGTTTTCCATTTTAATTTCTATTTCCTAAACTTATGTCTGAAGGAATTAAAGAGAGGAGTTTTTCTTTGCACTTGTCTCGTTTTTTATTCTGATCTTAGATGTCGGCTCGCGTTCCCAGGCCATCTTCTAGAAGGAGTGTATTTGCACCTAACCTAAGCGGCCAGGCTCCGTCTAGGAAAACCTGCTCTGTTGTTTCATCAATGAATGTGCATACTGCCGCTCCAGCGAGTGATCGAAAACCACTCTTTAGTATATCTGAAGAACACAAACTCGAACTGAGGAAAGCTTTCGACATGTTTGATACACAGGGGATAGGCCGCATCCAGGCGCGCGAAGTCAAGGTAGCCTTCTATGCCCTTGGCTATGATGTTACAGATGGGGAGCTGAGACAGCTTTTGCAGGATGTTCATGCGAAGCTTTCTGGAGGTGACGATATGGTCGATTTCAATGAATTTTTCAGCGTACTGACTCGAAAGATGACTTCCCGAGAATCGAGGATTGAACCTTTGCGTGCTTTTAAGCAAATTGATGAGGATGACAAGGGGTATATATCACTGGAGGACTTGCGAAAAATTGCACAATCACAGCATCTAGACCTCACGGATGATGAGCTTATGGAAATGATTCTCTTTGCACATACTATGCCCTCTGGTATGCAGCAATCCGTAGCCTTCAGTGGTAGCAACCGCACGAGTTCTGCTGGGTTTGATACGAGAGAGATGGCTGTCGTCACAGAAGAGGAGTTCTTAAAGTTGATGCAGCAGGCAGAGTCTTATTTATCCTAGCCATAGGGTGAATGATTCGACTTAAGCGGAAGTCTACTCGCTTTCGTAGTTTCAAATTACCACCTGTTTCAAATGTAAACTATATATATTCGAACGTATGCTTGGTGAATTATTACGATCGAGACGAAGGGGTTCTACACATTTGATTTAGGCTTCAAGTGATGTAACTTAGTTTTAGAAAAGCATTGGCTAATAGGCCCGACTAATCAGGGTAGCGATTGTCCTCTTCACACCTCGCATTCTTTTCCTTATAGAAAAAGATAAGAATATTTCTTATCAAAAAAAATATAGCCTCGGGTTACATGTCTGTCTATGGAATCTCTTCTTACTTTTTGTGGACTCAGAAAGGATTGACAGAACTTCCGCTTGTACGCGGCAGTGGCTTTCTCATGCGCTACAGAGAGCTTCATACTTTTTATCGGTATCACGTCGTGACTGCCGGCCATGTCTCGTCTCCAGTGCGGTACAAACAGATATACGGCGACACGGCTGGTCTTCGTGCAATTGGGCAAAGACATCTTAGCACGCGGCTACTCGTGCCCAGTTCGGAAACGCACAAGGTGGTGCACTCCTTGGAGATGGAATTCAAGCAATACCCAATGCCTAATGTTGACGTCGCGTTGTTGCGCTGTAAACAAGAGGCCCATGTTGAAGAACTTGGTTTACAACCCATTGATGTCGACAAGGATCCGATCGCAGAGGGCACCGAGCTCGTTTTTTGTGGCCTCGATGTGGAGGAGGAGAGGGCAAATCCAAATGACGAGGGTCTTCTTCTGCGGGAAAGGCGTTTGTTTGGTGTCTGTAAGGCTGCACTCGTGTCGTTGGATTACGGGACGGTACTGCTGGCCTCACTGACGGATGAGTCTCCCAGGGCAGTCGATGGAATCCTTTCGAAGGGCCTTCCACTGGGCATGTGTGGTGGACCGGTGCTCCGACGAGGCTCCGGCAAGTGCGTCGGGGTGATCGTCGCTCGAGTTCTCAAAAACGCCCCACCGCGGGATCCGAACGCGGGCGCGCTCTATCAGGACCCATACTTGGACATTTCTGAGAATGTATCACTCCACGCCCATGGGTCGCTGGACGTCGCCTTCGTCCCGATTGGGGAGTTTTATAGCTCAATGCGTCGCTCTGAGCTGTAGTATGGCAATCGGTTGGTTGGCTGATGGGATGGGACGAATATAGTGATTAAGAGGGGTTTTATGGTAAAGGATACAAGGAGTTAAACCAAAGAGTTCTGGATGATTCAACTTCATCCTCTTTACCTATTTAATGTTGTCGCTTTTTCTTCATATATTCTGTGATGTAATGGTTTTTTTTCTTTTAGCCACGCCGTCTTGGTTTCAATGCTGGTAAGTTCTTTGATCTTTTGTCTCTTCAACAACTTAGTATTTTATTACATCTTCCATTCTTAGTACTGATTTCCATACAGTATTGCGTATCAAGGATAAATAGTACCTTTATATCTATCTATCTATTTATCTTTCTATAGATAGATACGGAAGGAGGCGGAGGAGAGAGGTTGGTGAGAAATGGTAAAAAAACATGCGGGTGGGGAGAATATCCGTGTCGTTATTCGCGTGCGTGATCTTTTACCTTACGAATCAGAGAGAGGTGACAAGGCCATTGTCCGCTTAGATTTGGCGACAAGTCAGGTTATCGTGCAGCACCTTATTGGTGACCCGGATGTCTTCGCTTTCGATTCCGTGTACAACAATTCCTTCACACAGCGCGACTTGTTCTTGCAGGAAGTGCAGCCCCTGGTGGATGCAGTGCTCCAAGGTTACAACGCAACGGTCTTTGCATACGGACAGTCAGGATCTGGCAAGACTTTCACAATGACTGGTAACATAGAAAAAAAAGAATTGTGGGGTATCATGCCTCAGGTTGTAGAATATATATTCACAGAGACCAAAAAGATGACGTCGTCCACGAAGACCTTCAAGGTGAGGGTGTCGTATGTGGAGATTTACAACGGCAAAACGCACGACCTCTTATCTTCGAAACATACGGACTTGGAGATTAAACAAACTATGGCTAAGAATTTCTACGTGAAGGGAGCCGAAATGCCGGAAATAGGGAATCAGGCGGAAGCTCTGCGTTGGTTTAATAAGGGGACAGAGCGGCGTCGAACCGCTTCAACCGACCTTAATGACACTAGTAGCCGTTCACACTCTCTTTTCACTGTTCAGATTGAGCAGTTTAATTTTGAGAATGATCCCAGCTCACCCATCGTGATGACAAGCAAAATTAATTTAGTTGACCTGGCGGGATCAGAGAAGTTGAGTAAGACGAACGCCACCGGCGACACTGTTAAGGAAGGATGCAACATTAATCTTTCCTTGTCTGCGCTGGCAACGGTTATCGACACCATCGTTAAGGGTGGGAAACACATCCCGTACCGTGGTTCACCGCTCACAATGCTACTGAAAGATTCCCTTGGCGGAAGCTCTAAGACAGTCATGTTTGCCAACACGGGTCCATCTGACAAGAACACGTCGGAAACCATCTCCACCCTGCGGTTTGCTACGCGGGCGAAGCAGATTGAGAACAAACCTATCAAGAATTTAGACCCCAAGGATGCGCGTATCCAGGATCTACTCGACCAGATCGAGGAGCTCAAGAGCCGTTTGGGTAATGTTGACCTTAGCATTGAGGACAACCTGCGACAACGCATTGAAGAACTTGAGATTGAAAACTCAGATCTGCGTGCTGGTGGTGAAAAGAGTGCGCTGGAGATCCAGGAGCAATGTCGTTCGTTGCAACTTCGGATTGACGAGAAGGAAAAGGAACTGGTCGAGCGTCAGCGTGAGCTGCGTCGCGTGATAGAAGAACGTGGGATGACTGAGGCCAATTTGGCCAACGAGACGAATCACATAAATGAGCTACGTAGGCTGAACGCAAATTTCATCAAACGAATCTGCTCTGATGACGAATTGAACCAGATAAGGGCCCAAATGCCGAAGGACGGCTCATACAATACGACAGACGACAATTGGGATGTAAAAGAGATCGCTTTCTATCTGCAGGGCTTTGCCGAACAGTATGAACATTGGCGCAAGGTGACCTACACAAAGGATGATATGGAGAAGTACGCAGCGCGGGCAATGGCGGAAATGCAGGAGCATCTTCAGCTTCAGATCAACGATGCGATACGCTCGAGGGACGATCTCTTGCGACAGCGTGATGAGGAAGCGGCTCGACATACGGCTGATAGTGTTACAATGTCACAGCTGAAGGTTGAGTTGAATTCCTTACGTGATGAGAATACAAAACTTCGCGAAAAAATCGAGCGAGACCAAGAAAAGATCAAAGCCAAGCTTACAAGAAACAAGGAGGAGTACAAAAACCTTCAGGACCAGCTTGAGACGACGAAAACCACCGTAACGGAGAGGGAGAGGGATATCGAACGTCTAAAGCGTATGCTTGGTGACGCAGGCGTGGCACCAAATCTTAACTGCAGTAGCTCGTTCCTTAACACTGCCAACTGGGGTAACATAGATGAGCGGTCCGCCGTCCTCCGGCAGCTGGAGGAAACACGGGAGTCAAAGGAAGCGCTGGAGAGGAAGATCAAAGAGACCAATGTTTCTCTTCGCCGTTTCGGTGTTTGTATCACAGATTCTTCCGCCGAGGATGATGCGGCTAACGTGGCTAATAAGTGTGATGCCTTCATGTTGGCTGCAATCGATGAGGAGCCCATTAACGAAGACGTGTTCGCGGAACTGCAGCAGCAACTTCGGTCGAAGCACCGCCTCCTCGAGCTAGCGCATCAACTGCAAGCTCAGCTCGGCGGCATGATTAGAAAGTTCGAGCTACTTACAACTGGGAAAGTGACCTCGGATCTGCCGGATATGAATGGCCCCGTGAACAATATCGGGGGTATGGTCGGTGCGATTGATGAGGCTACGATTCAACAGCTTACGGATCTCCTCCAGAGCAAAGAGGATGCCATTGAGAGTCTACGTGAGGAAAAGGATCAGGTGTGCGACAGGCTTGTGCGCAAGCTCAACAAGAGTGAGCAGAAGATTCATGATCTGGAGTCCGCGATCGAGGAAGAGCGCAGCCAAATAAACGAGGAACGTGCTGAAATGCACAAAGAAACAGAAGAGCACCAGAAGCACATCCAGCAACTGTCTTTGGAGTTGGAGACGGCAAGGGAGCAGCTCAAAGACTCCAAGCAGCAACTTGAGAGTATGCAACGCGCGAATGAAAATAAGATCGACTACATGAAGGGACAGATTCAAGACTTGCAACGTCGTCTTGATGAGACTCGGAACAAGTCGGCAGAATTCGAGGAGATGGAGAAGAGCTATGAGCGATTACAAAGGCAGATCACTCGTACGGAGCAGGCTCTTCATGAGAAAACGGAGCATCTGGAGAACAATCGTCAGGTGGTCAAGTGGTCTAACTCGCTCCTAGAGCGTGAGAAGCGAAAGAACGAGGAGTTGGAGGTGACTATCCGGGAACTAGAGCTAGAAATGCGGAAATTGGATGAGACATGGCGTGCAGAGCTAAACGAGCAGATCAACAAGCAGATCATTGCAAATAATCGTCGCTTTGAGGCACAGGCGGAGCAATTCCAGGAGATTATTGCCGGTGAACATGAGAAGCAACGAGCATTACAAAAGAAAATAAAAAGTGCGAAATCCTCTGCAAGCAAGGCTGCACAACGATATGATGAGCTGATTCTTGAGAACGAGTCTATTATTTCTCAACTCGAAGAACTCAAGGTAACCTCACTGAAGATGTTTTTAGAGAAACAGGAGGCGCAGCGAGACTTGGATGCACTTCGACCTACGAGTAGTCTACGTGCTCGCGTTTTCTGAAACCATTTGTTTAATAATTCGGTTGAGAGACCCCTTTTGAATTGTATTTTCCTCTCCCTATGTAAAAATGATGCTATGCGTTGACTAACGAAACGGGAATAAAGCACCTTTACTATTTTCTTCTTCCTTTTTTTTCTTGTACGTGTATGAGGAGGTGGCATTCTGATGCTTTCATATGATTGTGCTGAGGTTTTACGAAGTTCACAGTTTTCGTTGCACGCGTAGGTGTTGCTTATTATCCTTTACGCTACCTGCATTCTGATCAAAGATAACTAATAAATAGCTGCTTAGTCGATGTTATAATAGAGAAGGCGATGTTAAAACCAAATCTATGAGGAATATTGTTTACACTTTGACAATGGATTGATGTTTTTGATAATCGACAAAAAATCTTTCTTTATGTGGAGGAGCTAATATTATTATTTCAAAAAAAAAATTGCTACTCATGGTTTCTGAAATCACATGGCTTCTTTCCATTTTACACGATACTTACCGGTTGAAATGGGAGGGAACTAATCAAATAAATAATGAGGCCAAAATATTTTAACTGTACTTCAGACGAGTACAATGAAGATTTAATCATCCTGTTGAAAGGATTCCATACAAAACTTTTGTATTTTAATTCTATTTCTATTTGTTCTTAAGTATATATCTTAATAGTCATACATAGTTTTCCTTTTTAGTATTTCCGGACAAGGAAATGGTGCGGAACACTGCAGAGAACAAGGGTTTCAAGGCAGCCCTTGGCAAGGACGCATTCAAGGCTCAGGTTGAAGCAATAAAGCGAAGCAAAAGGAGCAAGTACACTCCTGTTTCCCAACACTCCAAAGGCAATCCCGTTCACCGTGAGCTCAAGTACCATGAGCGAATCCTTCTGAAGAAACATGACTTCATGCAATACCCACAGGATAATTGGCATGAGCCGTACTGCATTACGAAGTACCACCTAGAGGATCGTGAGGACTACCGTCGCTACCTCCGACTGGTTGGGCTTATTCGTCAGCTCCTCACGCAGCTGCGGTACTTGCCGGCGGATAGCAAAATACGCATTGAAGTGACGCAGCAGCTCTTGGACAAGTTGTATAACATGGGTTTGATTGGGGAAAAACTCGGCCTTACGGAGGTGGATAAGGTTGGCGTGGAGGTCTTCTGCAAGCGCCGTATCCCGACTGTTATGCGCGACCTGAAGATGGCTCCCAACTGCAAGATGGCGGCGGATCTTATTCATCATGGCCATGTGCGCGTGGGGACGACGCAGATCCGTGATCCAGCCTTCTTGGTACCGCGGGGACTCGAGGACTTTGTGACGTGGAAGCCAGGCAGCAAGATTCGTCAACACGTGGATACCTTCAACGTGAAGAGGGATGATTACGAATACTCCTAGGGTGTGCCGTACACAAGTGCTCTATTTGGTTGTTGATCTAACAGCGAAATGTAATGCGTTTAAACTGAAAGTAATTTTTTGAAGATAGTAAAAGGTGATATCCTAAATTTAATATTGCATAAGCTTTTTTGTTGTTGTTATTGCACTACTTTTCATTGCAATACTGCTTCCACAGATTAAAGTACATTTACTTGCTCTTACATTCCTTTTCTTCGAAAATTTTGATGTGAGTTGACATAAGTGTATGTCCTACAGGAGGCTAGTCATCTCATGCTAGTATCGAAAGGCAGGTTCATGCGTTATATATATGTATATATGCATCCCTAAATACTGTGTTTTATGTTCCTCGGACATATCCATCAGAGAACTCACGTCGCCTTTTCTAAAGTAAGCTTTCAGCTTCAACACGATCTCAGGTTGATACGAAGCACGATAACAACTTAGAAAAAAACGGATCATAAGTAAATCATATCTAGTAAATCGATGGGAAATTGCTACTCTGTCAAATTAAATACAACTAAACTTAGGGCCGATAGGGAGGCATTAATTAACCAGAGTGATGCTACAACCTCTCAGCATATCAAGCATGCCAAGGATGATGCGTATCTTTCTTATGCTAAGATTAGTGTTTATGTGAACCGAAAAGACGCTCCACTGCCATCTTTTGTGCGACAAGAGACCAACACCCATCGAAATCGGTCTCCGGCAAGTTTGGATCGTATAGGGGCTGTTCATAGAGTCGGTGCGGAGTTGCCGCCTCCAAGAGAGGCAGAGGGCAGCAATCGGACTCATAGAAACGTCGTTCAACGAAAGAGTACTGGCGTGGGGCGCCGTGCTATAAAGATTAGGGATGCTAGTGTGAAGGCAAAGACCAACACGGCCGGTTCCTCTGATAAAGCCTGTGCGATGAAGCCACATATCCCTAGCACGCCTACGCAGCGACCACGAGAAACGCTGGCGTCTCAGGACCCCTTGAGTCCTGGTTTTTTGTCGTCGCATGCTAGTGACAACGATCTTGTATTGATATGTCTAGATTGTGGAATGACGATTGATGAGGAAAGCGTAGGAATCATTTGCCCACTGACTGCTAAACTCCACGCTTGAGTCTATTTCTGTACTGGAGGCAATGTGCTTCAAGTTTAGGCTTATTTATTGGAAGCTATTGTTTATCTGTTCCTTGTTTGAGAAGATTATTATCTTCTCTTTCAGCTCGTTTGTGATTCAGGGGTGATAATCTTGTTGACTCTGAACGGAACTACGATGATCTTGTGCCGTAGAATGCGTTTAGACTGTGACATTGTTTCTGTTTTACATATTATTTTTCTTTATGACCCTCTCCTCTTTTTGGATATTAATAGTGATCGCGAAAACTTCCCTTTTTCTCACGATTTCTCCCCTTTCTTTGATTGAAGCTTGTTTCTCTACAATATTTATTTTCATTGCTTTTTTTAGGCAGTAGAAATAAATATTGAAATAGAATCGAAGCTATTCACAAATATACACACGCAACAGCAAAGACCTATTGCTTTTTTTTTAGACACATTCCTTTGTTTTTTTTGCTGATTGTTATTTCTGTATATTCACTTCGAAGGTTATTTAGTTTGCTTCAAAATAGTTTCCTCACTTCGTTTCTCTTTATTTTCATTAGTTGTTGGAATACTAAATACAAGAAGTCGTGGCGATATAGGAAAAGGTATAGAAATAAGTGTTCCAAATTCCAAATTATAATCATATACCAGTATTTATAGCGATCAATAAAAAGAAATTATTAAATCAGAATTCTGTTCATTTTCTTTTTTACCAACGTGATTCAATTTTTTTTTGTCTGCTTGTTGCGTGCGTGTGGTTAGTTGTATTTTTTCTAATCAAAATCACAATGTCTTCAAGTAATCATCTTCCTAGTCGCCGAAAGGAAATCGATGTTATGAAGTTGCTCAAAGCATCCCAAAAGGTGTACTTGTCTAAGAACATCTCTGAGTTCTGGGTTGAGTTTGTCGGCCCCGAGGGCACCCCGTATGAAGACGGAACGTGGATCCTACACGTGCTTCTCCCTCCTGAGTACCCTTTCAAGTCCCCATCCATCGGATTCGCGAATCGGATTTGGCACCCCAACATCGACGAGACCAGCGGTAGCGTCTGCCTGGACGTGATCAACCAGACCTGGACGCCGATGTACGAGCTCAAGAACATCTTTGACGTCTTCCTTCCTCAGCTGCTGCGCTATCCCAACCCAGAGGACCCGTTGAACCCCTCTGCCGCGGCACAGCTGCAGCGCGACCCCACCGGCTACGTCTCCCACCTTCAGGAGCACGTCGCCGCCCACGCGACGCGGGAGAAGGCGCTCGCGAGCATCCCAACCCCCTACGGGCCGCCCTCCCCTCATGAGACGGGGGGGGGGACCTTCTCTTCCACCGAGGGGTTCAACGTGAACGGCCACCCCCCTGCCCAAACCCCTCCGGAGGGCGCTGTGGACGGGATGGGGAACGGTACCAGGGGGGAGCTGGACGATATCAGGGTCGGCCAACTCTATCCAAGGGAGGAGGAGGAGTACATCCCCGAAGAGATCGAATTGTGAGGCGAAGGACGACTACCGCAGCGAGCACCGATCGTCTTCTTTGATTGTTATGTGTTACCTTTGGGCCTTGAAGCTTGCTGGGATTTACCATACTTTTGTTGTGTTCACTCGGGATTTTGGTTGGCAGGGCGGTTGAGTATCTTTCAAGAATTGATAGCTAATGCCATTCATTACGTGATTAATGGAGGAATATTTAACTGATATGATGTATGTATATTTGCTTTCTGTGTGTATTAGATGATATCGATCATTCTTCAGACTTTATGAAAAGGTTTATGCGTGATTCTTGCTTCATCATCTTGCTATTTTAAGCACTCTCTGTGAGACTATTGAAACTTGTACTGAAAATTGAAGGTCAACTTCATACGCAAACGGCCTTTTTCCAGCTTCCCCCCTTCTTCCTCTTTGTGTTTTTGAATTTTTCTTTCTTTTTATTTTTCTTACGAAAATAATTTCGCGTCCAGGATTCGGGAACCAGGAATAAACGTGTTCTTGGTGCACAGCTTTGGTTCTTTTGAGTCGACTGCAGGAATTTCTTTCCATGAATAAATGTATCTGACTTCATTTTTGCAGTACAATATATATATGTATATATGTATATGTATATATATGGATTCTAGACACAAAAATCTATTATCTACTTGATGATTCTACTCCATGACTATAATGTGTTGGTTGGATGGAGGGAAGTATTTGTGGCTGCACAAGGCGTCGTATCACATCTTTAGTCTTATGGGGTTGAGTTTTTTTAAAATTTAAAGCCCTATCGAAATAATTGCTTTTTTCCCTTTTCATGAGCCGCATAAAAAAGTTCAAGGGGGTTTGTTTCTTCTGCTAAAAAAAAGACACTTTTATCTCTGCAAAACCTTATATCATCTATACATATATTTATATATTACCACATGTGTTGCTACATTTCTATGGCACTATCTCATATATTTTGATATTCGTCGAATTTTTTAAAAATACGTGCATAATGAATTACTTTTATAAAGAGAGTAGATTAATAAATATATTGTCTGTATTCCTCAATGAAATGGTATAGACTCCCCTTTATTTACCCATGTTAAGAAGCAAAAGGGAAAAATGCATTGATCAAAAAAATACTGATACACAAAGATACCTCAGGCTGGTACGAGTCTCGAGTGAAGTGAAAAGATGCGTTTTTACCGAATTCATATAAATTAGAAGCACGTCGCTTTTTAGATTAATTGCATTGCGTACCTTTTTCCCTCTGCTCTCTACATATTACACTAAGTAAGCAAGATCATCCATCACTCTATTTTCAAATTAAAATCTTTTCCCATTAGTGGCCCTTTCACAAAAGCGGAGCATCATTTGCCTCCTATACGAGAAATATCAGAAAATGCCATGCGCGAATCTTCTGCTTTTGTTGAAGGGCCACAGACGTTTCCCAGAGGACGTTTTATTATGGATTTCAGCATGAAAAAGATTGCAACTTACTTTCGCCTTTTAGGCTACGATACAATGTGTGATCGAGATATCCCACATGACCAGATTATTGAAATAGCTTCAATGCAAGATCGATGTGTTATTACCGCTAGCCCCTCTTTGGCGCGGAGATTGGAAGCTCACGATCGTTGCTTTCGCAAACAGCAACAAGAAATGCAGGAAGAAGGGCAACTAGCAAGGGCGGGTCATCATAAGCGTTTTGTCATGTACGCCTCCGATGGGGATTCGGTTTACTCTGATACTTCAAATACGCCTATCAAAGCGGTGGAGTACATTGAAATTCAGCAGTGGCGGAAAGCAGACTTTCAGAACACCATTGTCGACCTCATTACTCGTGCTCGACTCGCGTACGACACACTTTATGTATTTTCGCGTTGCGTAGATTGTAACGATGTGCTCGTTGAAGTGGAAAAAGGTCTTGCCAAGGGCAGCGTTTTGGAATCCGTTTTCTCCATTTATCAAGATTTTACTATGTGCCCGAAGTGCAGAAAAGTGTTTTGGGGATTTAAAGCGGAGGAGGCCATCAATTACAAAACCTTACGCACCCTTGAAATGCTGCATACCCTTTGTGTTCGTGCAGGTGCGCCGGTATTGTGTGGAGGGGGTAAAAAAAACACCATGAAAAGGATTTACTCTCTCCCACGTAGCGTTAAGTTAAACATTCTCTCTTTTATTGAAAAAGATCATTTAACTGCATTAATGGATGTTTTTCCCGCTCTCACTGGCTTGGTTGATGATGAGCGCAAGTGAAGCCTTTATTTCAGAGCTGTTCCCCGTTCGAGTCGCGGAACAAGGTTAGGAAATGTTCTCTGCATCGGCCGGGAGGAAGTGTTTCCCCGCATAGCAAACAAGTTAGATGGTTGAAGCATTTTACCATATTGTTCCATTAACCTAAAAATTTCTGTCAGAAAGGATGGAGAGCATCCCACGTAGTCATTCGTTTCCTTAACGTTTATTTTTTTAAGGAACTTTCGAAGTGCGATACCTTCATTAATGTTATTTACTGCTACAGTGCTGAGTCTTTTGGTTTGGTCTTGTATCCCCTTTGATCTCTTCTTTGGCAATTGTATTTTTGAACATTTAGTTGAGGTGTTCAGACGCTTCTTATTTTAGCAATTTTTTTCGGGTGTCTCCCGATTTTATCAGAGTAATGAGCAATGCAAAGAGGGTAAATCTTCCGATTGAGATTTTGCGCAACTGCCGCGGCAAACCGGTCTCTATTGAGCTCATCACTGGGGAAACGTTCAACGGCACAGTAATGCGTACCGATAGAACGATGAACATTGTGCTCAAACAATGCATTCGAACTTCAGCAGACGGTGATGCCTTTTGGCGATCCCGCGAGTGTTTGGTGAGGGGTGCTAGTATTCGGAATGTCCGCATGGACGACACTGCGCTTCGAGTTCCCGCATCGGCTCCTCATAAAAAAACAATAGTGACAGGGAAAAGGCCGCGTAACAGTCCCCAATCAGGTTCGCTTCCTACTAAAGTCTCCAAAAAAGAGCATCAAGGAAACACCAAGTAATCTAATGGTCTGCGTATTGGAGTTCCTCTCCTCACTTTTGCACCTTCCCCCACGATACATGAAAGCCACACTTTCTTTTCAGAAGTGAGCGATTCGTGACCGTGGAGGCTCTTCACTTTTGCGTGAAACGCACAACTGTGTTTCCGTATTAAGCCTTTCATTGGCAACGTATGAATAGTATTATGCTAGCTGTAATCTTGCTAAAGTTTCCAGTCTTGCTTGTTTAGTCAAGACAGGGGTCCGCATACATATGTTGATATATATATATATATATATATATAATAGGCATTTTTTAACATGCTTTGTGACAGAGACCCTCTATAATTTATGCATCATGAATTTTAACCATGTTTTTGATGGTCATTCTTTACCCGTTCTACCAAGAGGGGTTGTGCCGCATGGTTCAGCAGGGACTCGTGTCTCTCTTCTTTTTAGTGAAGTGGAAAAACGATTTTTTTTAATATACTTTTTTTTTGAAGATAGGCATTCCAAAGTTTAATAATGAGTTGTTTTTTTTAGCTATCTTTTATGCAAGTCGTGTCTGAATATCAAAGCTATCGATAATTTAGAAACTTACATTCAGATTTAGAGGGATTTGAGGTGGGTAAGTAAAGTCCCTATTTGGGCATATGATTGCTGACCTTAGAGAGCGGAATGATGACTGTGAAGGTGAGTCCGCGCTGAGAGCGGAGTCTGACTCCCCATCTAAGTTGTATGCCATGTTATGTGCCGTCACAAAGGAGGAGCAGGAGGTGAAGGATGCCATTACCCGCTCGCGTTTTGCCTGCGAGAAGCTACGCTCACAAATTGTTGTTGAGGAGGAAAGGATTGCGGTAAAACGCGACCGCATGCCAAGTTTGCGCAGTGCTATTGAAGTGGAGCAGGTGGATAAGCGCGCCTGGGAAGCTTGCATGGATGGTGTAGCCACCGTCTTGGAGGACGCTAAACGGCGCGCGCTCAGGGCAGAGCAGAATCTGGAGGCTGCATGTGTGGATGATGACCTAGGGATATACGAGTGGCCCCTCGTGGACGAGTGTGGCAGCACGGATAGTGGTGAGCACCTCTACGCGCCTCCCTCAGATGTGCTCCGAATGCTTTCCTCGCTTCAGAGAAAGGTATCCAGCGTGTGCGCCGCGGTGAAGCTGAAGCAGAAGAATGTGGACGAGCCTCGCGAAGCTGAGGAGCGGAGTGCAGCGGGACGTCCCACTCCCTTCCCGGGAGCGTCGACGTCATCGCCGGATAGCGATGTAGGGTGTGCATGCACAGATGGCTTGGATGCTGCGGCCGCTGTCGCGGTCGATGAGGCTCGATCACCGCGGCGACGTCGGTTGCATTTTGATGAGGATTGCCTAGAGAGGGTAACATTGGTTCGTACGGAACCTACGTCTGGGGTTCAAAGGGAGATCCGGGGAATTCATGCAAACGTGGGTTGGGCGACGCTGTATGATGCTAGTGAGGCTGCAGCTCCTCGTGGGTGCTTGGTTTCAACGACACGCGTCCTACAACGGTCCTCTGCCGCTTGCCGTGTCAGGCCAACCATGACGAAGTGGGTATATTTTAACCCCAAACATTCGTCCGAAGGATGCTAATATGAATCTGCTTTTTTTTTCCCATCTATTTACATCGTTTTTTTTATGCGGGTAGGAAGGAATGTTTAGGTGAATTTTGGTTCGCTTAGTTTTGCTTTGGTCGAACTATTCTCATTTCTATTCATTAATTCACGGTGCCTTAGTTTCTCTTTGATTTCTGATCTGCTTTATGATTTCCTACTTTTGATGACTGTGGGGGATATCTCATGAGGAAAGGTCTGGTCAAGATATGGTCTAACCCTATTACCATATAAGTTTGCCTCTTTTCTTCTTCTACTTCTTCCTCTCAAAAAGCAGACAGAAAAGTCGCACCCATTATCGAGTTTTCTTGTTTGAACACACTACTCTTTCCTTGTTTACTCATTCTTGGTTCTTTATACAAGTATCATAAGGGAACTGACACTTTTTCTGTCCTCCACGGGGCATTGTTCATGTTGTGTGGACCAAATAGTAATATTAGCACCAGTGGAATTGGAATGCCAACATATGCGAGTGGTCGCCGCACGGTTAGTGCAACAACACCCTCACAGCTTCAGATGGCCACACCCACCTTTCATTCGCCACATAGCTTCTATCCCTCACAACAGGTAGATCTTGGTCGTCCCAATGGCGGCAACTCGCTCTTGTCAGATCCCTTTCCTTCCACACCGTACACCTCAGTGAGCAATTTGTTCATGTCTCAGGGGGTGCGCAACACTCTCATCACGCCTCACTTCATTCGCCAAGCCCGTGCCGTCACGCACGTCACATCCTCAAAGTTCGCCCCCTACACAACTATTTACAATTTGGAAAACGAAGACAAACCGAGTGTGTTGATTCCCAAGATATCCACGCAGGTTTACCAAACCACTGCTCGTTACACTGGCAAGGATATTCTCCTGCGCCGCATCGTCAAGACTTCCATCACGGCAGAGGATTGCAAAGTGGTTTATGAGACACTGCGACACTACCGGCACCCGAATCTTGTGCCCCTTACAAACATCTTCACGACAGACGAGTTTATCATGGGAAGCTCAGACGTCATCATGGAGTATCGTTTCATGCCAGGCGCTAAGAGCATATATGATGCTCTTTTTACAGAAAACAATCGCGCCACAGAGGGTTTGCTGTGGTCCTTCACATGCCAAATGGTTGGTTTGTTACGTTCCTTCCATGAGACATTGATACCTCTACGTGGGTTGCATTGGTCAAAAATTATCTACATAGAAACGACCGGAAGGTTTTATTTCACGGGTCTCGGCCTGGTCGATCTATTGGAGCCGAACTTGCCCTCATCAATGTTGCATTTGATGATGAAGCAGGATATTCAAGCCTTTGGTTTCATCCTCTTCCAGATCGCGACACGGAACGTCGATGCGAAGCCGGAGAACTTCATCAATAAGCACCCTTTGGTTGGATTTTCTTCCAGTTTCTGGGAGCTTATTAAGATTTGCCTTGAGGGCAATGCCGATGCTGCACAGTTGTGCCATGCGCTAGGGGAGCGAATATCGATGGAGGTAGGCCATCAGGAGGGGCACGCGGACTTTCTTCTCTCCCAGTGTGTGAAGGAAATACACAACGGCCGTCTCATGCGTCTGATGATCAAACTGAACTTTGTGTTAGAGTCTCTTCACGATATCCAGTACAGCACCGACTCCCAGCGGTATGCACTGCGACTCTTTAGCCAGTTCGTATTCAATCAGGTTGATGACCAGAACCGTGTGCATGTTGATTGGGGGCACGCATACCACTGTCTGAACAAGCTGGACTGCGGGTCTGAAGAAACAATTCAGCTCATCGGGAACGATGCAAACACCACTGTGCTTGTTATCAGTTATGCAGACCTTCGCGTGATTCTTGATGGGTTATTTGAGCAGTTGCAGCAGTTAGCATCTCAAGGAGGAAATGGCACAGATATAGATAACCAAACATTCATACCGGCTTCTCCAGGGTCTGCATAAACCTAATGCGTGCATATATACCCTCTTTTACAGCGTCGTTTTTTTTTGTGATGTGAGTGTTTGAGCTGAAATGTTTGTTGTTGGAAAAAACGGTCTATCTTGTCTTTAAATATGATTTTTATTTGGTAGGATGTACGGTGATTTCAAGTGTGCTTTATTCTTGCTTGGTAGGTCATTGGGGCTGATGCACGCTGCGATAGCGTAAACAGATATCTCAGAGTAAAATATGTAATAGAAGAAGGGAAGTGTGTAAGTTTGGTACATGCTTTGAGGGGTCTGCACGTGGATTAACGTATACGTCTATGCATCCTTTATGTTTTTCCCTCTTCATTTTATTTGTCACGCTTTGTAATAGGTCTTTGACATTTGCTCATTATTTTTTTGCAGTACGAAAGCAATGGTAATAGTGAACAGAGAATATATATATGCATATATATATATTCGCACTGTGATTTCAATTTGTTATCAAATATGCTTTTTTAATTCTACTTTTACCATGTCACCGACTGCGATGTATTTCATTGTTGTCAAACTTTTAAATTGAAAGCAAATGACGCATAGAGTGCTGGACTCTTATAAGAAATGAAATGCATGCCTGAATTCGAATGAAAGAGAATAAAGCCAAGAGATATATGAAGTTGGCTTCTTTGTAAGTGTTTCAATTAAAAAAAAATATGATCTACAACAACGATTTTCCAAACGGGAAATACACTATACCTTTGTTTAGAAAATTGAATTCATGTCGGCCCTTTATGTGTATATGAAACACTTTTATTCTCATGCACTTTTTAAGACTCAATTCTTTTCCACCAGCTAGAAATTCAAAGGTAATTTTCTTGTTAATTTCACCCTTATATGCATGATTGTAAGTTATTTATCAAATTTTAATTTTTATCAGAAACACTATTTAATTTAACCGCAAATATCTAAACGCTTATTTTGATAGCTACTAACCTCTCACAACACAGAGAATCAGTCCCGTTGAAATTAAAAGAAAATATTTTCTCCTGAAAAATCGGTATGGCAGAAATGACAAAGGAGGTTATCGTGGCCTCGTGCAAGGCCAACGGTGGCTATGAATCCCCGAAACTCAACGATCAGCTTTTTCTTCACTGCAAGGGGTTTGTCGAAATCAAAAATTTGGAACCCTACACCAACGTCAAGGTGCTTTGGTTGGAGCAAAATGCTATCACAAATCTGTCTGGGTTGGAACATCAGAGAGATTGTCTTGTTTCACTCTTTTTGCAGAACAATACAATCTGTTCACTTCAAACGTTGACAGCTACCCCGCTTCATAACTTGCGCGTGTTGAACATTTCACACAACTACATCACATCTCTCAAAGGAATTGCTGCTGCTTGCCCATGCCTAGAAACCCTCCAGGTGTCGCACAACCACCTTGTCTCACTCGACGCTTGTAGGGATCTTTGGCAGCTTTCTGAAACCCTTACATCGGTTGATCTTTCATACAATAAAATCACTCAATCTGAGACCGTAAGCGATGGACCCGTAGTAAATCCATTCAACGCTAAAGCCTCAGTAGGCAGTATTTCTGACAGTGACATTCACATTTCTTGGCAGCCCGATAATGGGGAGAAGGACTTATCGAGTGGTCCTGTCCAAAATCAGTCGTCGAGGCGCTTTGACAAGGATCCCCTTGTTGTCGTCCATTTTTTCAAGAATTTGCCCAATGTTAGTGTGGTTTACATCCACGGGAATGGGATAACGCATGGACTGAAGAACTACCGCCGCAACATGGTGCTGCACCTTCCCAATCTGACGTACTTGGACGAGAGGCCGGTGTTCCCAGAGGAGCGTCGCGTCGTGGAGGCGTGGGGTCGTGGTGGCGATGAGGCAGAGGCTGCAGAGAGAGCTGCTATCCGCGAAGAGAAGCGCGAGCACCTAAAGAGCTGCGTGAGCGTCTTAACTGACCGTTTGGAGAACAGTCGGGAGGCGCGTGACCGGCTCACAAAAATCTGGGAGCAGCAGCGAGAAGAGGAATTGCGTGCTTTAGAACGGAAACGTGAGGGGTACCGTGACGCCTGCAATGCGTTAGAAGCAGCGGAGCGCTCTACTCGCGAAGCTAATGAGAAAGATGAACAGAACGCACGGTGGGACTTGGAGGCATTGTTCGAAAAAGTACATGAATCGCTCCTCGCGCATGAGGAGGAGCGATTGCGTGCCTACCAACAGGCGGAGGAAATCAGACGGGTTACCATTGACGCTGCATGTGCGCTTGCCAAAGAAGCAGCAGCCGAGGCTCAGGTTTCCCCCAACGACAGTAGTCATCATGTTGACGATGTGGTCGCATCATCGTCTTCTTTTACGACAGACCCACTAAACATGCTTCTACACTCTGACGACGATATATTGAGGGAGATGGAGGATACCATTCAACATGTTCTGTATGATGTTGAGCTTTCTGTTCGTAGTTATGGTAATTCAGCGCGACCAGAAGAATCTCCAAAACAATTAGTTATGAAGTCCGCTGCGGCAGTGAATGCAGCAGAAAAGGACGAGGAGTTTGACTACTGCAATGCAACTGAGGCCATCATCACCGCATCTTTCCAACACCATGATCGCGCTACTGAAAAGGCAGAGCGGGCTACACACGACGCCATAAAACGGTTCGGCACTACGCTTTGCCAAGGACGGCGAGAGGAGTTATGGAAAAAATTTCAGCGATGGGAAAAGCCCTTGGAACACATTTAAGAGAGAATTTGAATTTTTCCACATTCAGCCAAAGGGGGAGAGGAAGACGAAATGGGTGGACAATGCTTATAGCAGCACGTACTTTAACATTCTTTAGATTAATGGTTAGTATTGCCACTTCAATAGCCGGAAAGCCTTACACCCGTGTGTGTTTCACTTCTTCTGTTTTTTGCCTCCCTTGTGTTCACGATTGTAGGGAAATGCATGCGCTTGTTGAATACTTTGATCAGTTTTAGTCTTAACTATTGAAATCGACCTACAAGGGCAGTATTTTTGTGTTTGCCTATATCCGACACTTTCGCCCCTTTTGCACAGGATGTTACGGGCTCCAACATGAACTCTTGCCCCGCTCCTCCTGTTACGTGTATGTGCTTTATCAAAGTGAATGATCCCACTTTTATTTGGAATGTAAAGTATCCTGGGTAATCACCATATAAATGAAAATACTAACGCGGCATAGTCTGGGGATGCTTTGAAAGGATGAATCCAAGGGTTGTCAAACTTAGCGCATAAGATGACGAATCTTTCATTATGTCTTGCTTACCTCTCTCTATCTTATTATGATGATATACCATCTTTAGTAGTATTTTTGAAGAAGCCGATGTATTTTTGTTGATTGTGACTGTGTTCTTAGGAGAAATAATAGTTAGTTATTGATTTGCCTCATTGCTTTTCAATGTCGAGAAAAACTACCGTGCTGGTTACTGGTGGCTCCGGCTTAGTGGGTAATGGGATAAAAAGAATGAATAGGCTCCACCCACAGCCCAATGAGGTGTGGGTATACCTCTCACGAAAAGACGCTGATTTAACTAATTTCAGTCAGGCACACGCTGTGCTTGACAAATATCGCCCAACTCATGTCTTGCATCTGGCTGCAAATGTTGGGGGTCTTTTTAAAAATATGGCCCATCCGGTAGAGATGTGGGAATCCAATGTCGCCATCAATAACAATGTCCTCCGCTGTGCAAAGGAGTTTAATGTCAATAGGCTTGTCTCCTCGTTATCCACTTGTATTTTTCCTGACAATGTGACATATCCGATCCATGAGGGGATGTTACATGATGGAGCACCGCATTATTCGAACGAGACCTATGCTTATGCTAAGCGTATGGTCGATGTACTATGTCGATCCTATCGGCGTCAGTACGGGTTCAATTGGGTGAGTGTAATCCCCACAAATATATATGGTCCATACGATAACTATCACTTACGTGATGCTCATGTTATTCCAGCACTGATTCACAAGTTTTTTATAGCGCAGAGAGAGAACAAGCCGGTTGTGATCTTCGGCACGGGGAGTCCACTGCGACAGTTTATTTACAGCCAAGACCTTGCTGAGTTGATGATGTGGGCGCTGCGCCACTATAACGAAGAAGATCCAATTATCCTTTCTGTTGATGAGAAGGATGAGGTTTCGATCGCAGACGTTGTCCATCTCATTGCTGAGGCTTATCAATTCAAGGGTCAGATTATATTCGATACCACCAAAGCCGACGGCCAGGTCAAGAAAACCGTGGGAAACCGAAAAATGCGCCAATATTTGCCGTATTACAGCTTCACACCCCTCTCAAAAGGCATCCTAGAGACGGTAGAGTGGTTCACGAAGAACTATGAGAGTGCACGTAAATGAGAAATGGGGCCTCACCTTGGACACAGATCTTTTGTGACTATCCATGTTATTTACTACTTTACTTATATTGGCTAAGATTCTCATTGAGGAATGCCTGTGATCAAGAACGGTAATAATTAGCGTTCTTAACTCATTATCCCCCCTGCTGTTAGTGAAGTAAAGCCAGCCTAAACATTTAATTATTGTTAATATGTTAGACCTAAAAGTTGTTGATTTACAAGAAAGGATGCAGAATGTAATTAACTCAATACACCTTCTCTGACTTCTTCTTAAATGTTACCATTCGCACTAGCTATATTGTATCACGCT